CCCCCCGGCCGCCCGGTTCCCGGGCACCAACCGTCCCTCTCGCCGGTGCTTACCTGAGGCCTCCCAGTTCACCGTACGGACCACAGTACAACAGGCAAAAGCTTTTGACCTCTGGAGGGGGTGGGAGGGGCGGATGCCGACTGGGGCTTCTCATTGGTGTGCGCTGGGACTCGGCTCCTCCACAGCTCTGCCTTTTAAAAGGGCCACGGTAGCCTTGCCGGTAGAGCCAGGAGCGCCCAGGCCAAGGTATGTTAGCCGCTTTAAGAAGCAGAACAGGGAGGGGGCGGAAAGGGAGTGCGCCGAACCAATTGGCCGGCTGTACTCCTGTTCTGATTGGCCCTAGGAAGAGGCTCGGCCTACTTTTGATTGGTCAGTTGCAGGCGGCGTGTGCGGAGGGATTCTGGAGTTAAGTGAAGAAACAAAAGTTGACTGAGACAGAAGGAAAAAAAGAGTCCTGGAACCCAGAACTCGGTGTCTCTTCTAATGGGTGCTATGGGGGTGTGGGGTGGGCTGCAGTGGGCGATCTCAGTCCGACGTATCTGCTAGTCTGTCCCAGGAAGTACGTGTAGCCACGTGTGACTGCATGTGTGACTTGGAGTGATTCCCTGCGGTGTGCTTCAAAAGTCTATGTGTGTGATTGTGCCTGACCATGTATCTGTATGTGGGTGTGCCTACGACGTTGTGGGGCGGTTGACTGTGTGGTGATTGTGTGCCATGTGCCTGAATGTCTTTGTGGCTTCCTGTCTGTGTATTTGTTAAGCTTGTGTAACGGTATTCTGTGTGATCGTGTGTCTGTAGGTATGATTCTGTGTTGTGATGGTTTTCTCTCGAGGTGTGTGTACTATTTATGTGACAACATGACTGGATATTTGTGTGTATGTGTGGTTGTGTACCTACACGTGTCAGAGTGATTTGGCCTCTGTGCACTTGTGTGTGACTGCGAGTGTGATGTGAGTATATGCCTGAGTGAATGGCTAGGCTCACCTAGGTCACTTTTATGAGCATTTGTGTGATGTGCATGTGAATCCGGGTGCACTGAGCTTAACCATCTCTGCTTCTAAAAGGCACATATCTACCATGACATGGCCTTTTCCCAGGTGGGGAAATTGAAGCCCAGAAAGCAGAATGATCTTACTCAAGGTTACAGTGAACCAATTGCAGGGCAGGGACCCGCACTGGGATCCAGGCCTCCTGGTTCCCAGGACAGGCCCCTCCCTGCCCACCCGGGGAACACATCTTCCCACATAGACATTCTGGGTAATGGTGTGTGTGTATCGTGCTCTACCTCATGTATCGGCTCTGAATGAGTTATGGGATTGTGTCCAAATGTGATCACTGGCCTGCATGGGTGAGGTGTGTGCCTGGGTGTCCCTGGACCCTCCCACTTTCTGGGCCCTTCTTGCCTTTAATATCGAAATAAAACACTTTGGGGGGGGGTAATTTTTAATGTTTTATTTATTTCTGAGAGAGAGAGAGAGAGACACTGTGAGCAAGGGAGGGTCAGAGAGAGAGGGAGACACAGACTCTGAAACAGGCTCCAGGCTCTGAGCTGGCAGTCAGCACAGAGCCCGACGCGGGGCTCGAACCCACGAACCGTGAGATCATGACCTGAGCCGAAGTCAGACGCTCAACCGACTGAGCCACCCAGGCGCCCCCCAAATAAAACTCTTTGAGCCCTCCTCCTCACAGGGGAAGATTCTTTCATTCTGGTCACCTCCGACCTCCTCCAGCCAGTGGCCTCTCTCCTTCCCCAAAGCTCCCTGCCCTGAAGCTGGTTGTGAGTGTTGGAGTTTTCTGATGCTCCGTGGTGTCAGAGGGGGACGTGAGTATACACAGCAGAAAACCCAAATTGAGGTTCAGGCCTTGCCACCTTGGGAAGCCCATCATGGCCACATGCGCTTAGGGGACAAATACTTTCAGTCAAATCCCCCATCTCTCTGGACCTTTTTCTTCTTGCTTTGAGTTTTAGAGCCAGACATGCCTGTTCAGTGCCTCATCCAAGAAGATCTCTCTCCAAGAGAGGCTGTGCTTTCAGTAAACCAACTCCAGCCATTTTGTTTATTGAGGTGAAATTCACATAACATAAATGAACCATTTCAAGGCGTACAATTCAGCAGCATCTAGCACATTCACAATGTTGTGGAGCCACCACCCCTGTCTAGTTCCAGAACATTTACATCGCCCCAAGGAGACCTTGTACCCATTAGCGATCCTCCCCATTCCTCCTCCCCCTGCTCCTGGTAACCGCTACTGTTTTTGTCTTTACGGATTTGCCTGGGTATTAAACGGAATCATGTACGAGATCTTTTGTGACTGGCTTCTTTCACTTAGTATAGTTTTGAGATTCATCCACGTGAACATGCATTAGAAATTCATTCCTAAAAAAAATAAAATAAAATAAATTCATTCCTTTTTGGGGGGCGCCTGGGTGGCTTAGTCGGTTAAGCGTCTGACTTTCGCTTAGGTCATGATCTCGCGGTTCGTGGGTTCGAGCCCCGCGTCGGGCTCTGTGCTGACTGCCAGCTCAGAGCCTGGAGCCTGTTTCAGAGTCTGTGTCTCCCTCTCTCTCTGACCCTCCGCTGCTCATGCTGTCTCTCTCTCTCCTAGAAATAAATAAAAATATTTTTTAAAAAAAGAAATTCATTCCTTTTTATGGCTGAATAATATTTCATTGTATGGATGGGCCACATTTTGTTTATCCATTCATCTGTTAGTGGGCATTTGGGTTGTTTCTACCTCTTAACTACTGTAACTAATATGGCTATATACTTAGTGTACCGGTATTTGTTTGAATACCTGTTTTCAATTCTTTTTGGTCTATACCGAGGCGTGGAATTCCTGAGTCATATGTAAGTCTTGTTCAACTTTTTTTTTTTAGCTTTTATTTATTTTTGAGAGAGACAGAGACAGGGAACAAGTGGCAAAGGGGCAGAGAGAGAGGAGACAGAATCCGAAGCAGGCTCCAGGCTCTGAGCTGTCAGCACAGAGCCCGATGTAGGGCTCGAACTCACAAACCTTGAGATCATGACCTGAGCCAGACACTTAACCGACTGAGCCACCCAGGTGCCCCTCAACTTTTTCATTGTTTAACTTTTTAAAAAATGTTTTATTTATTTCTAGGAGAGAGAGAGAGAGACAGTGTGAACAGGGGAGGGTCAGAGAGAGAGGGAGTCACAGACTGAAACAGGCTCCAGGCTCTGAGCTGGCAGTCAGCACAGAGCCCGACGCGGGGCTCGAACCCATGAACCGCGAGATCATGACCTAAGTGAAAGTCGGACGCTTAACCGACTAAGCCACCCAGGCGCCCTGATTGTTTAACTTTTTGAAGAATCTTCAAACGTTTCCACAGTAGCTGCATCATTTTAAACTCCAACCTGCAGCTACGGGGTTCTAATTTCTATAAATATGGCCATCCTCATGGGTGCATTGACCTGGCTTTTATATTACTTGCCTCCCCCTTCCCTTGTGATACATGATCATTTTTTTGGCTTTTTTTGCCTTTTTGTGCGATATGTTGGCGATGCACAAATTCTGATTGTGTGCCTGTGGCGCTGTGTCTATGTCTGGCCTGGGTTGTGTGCTTTTTCACTATCAGAATGTTTGATTCCATGTTCATGTGGTTGTGTGTGTTTGACGGGGTGTGCCTCCCCCCTGTGGCTGGGCATTGATAGCTGTGCCGTTGTGTGACTAATTACAAACTGTGGCAGTAACAGGTGGCGTGAAGATGTAAGGTTGCCGATTTTATATGATGCTGTGCATGACTGTGTCTGATGTATAAGTGTGCGCATTACTGCATCACTCTGTGTGTGTGTGTGTGTGTGTGTGAGAATGATTATGGGCTGGTGTGTTTCATGCCTTTGTGCCTGGAGGCTACATGTGTGTTTCATGGCGGTTGCCTCTTCTATAGTGCTGCGATAACATACCCAAGGATCTCTGTGTGTCTGTTCGGTTTTGGCAAAATCCTGTCGATGCGATTGTGTGTTGTAACAGTGTGTGACTGTGTCCACACCTGTCTGCGTGATTATGAATTCTGTGTCTACAAGACTGTGTGCCTATAACACTGTGTAGCCATTGTGGTGTATAGCTGTACGCTGGAGGTCCCTGATTCCTCCTCCGGGTGGGGCAGGAATCAAACATCAGCCAGCCCAAAGCAGGGGTTGTGAAGGTCTCCTGTAGCTCAGATACTTAAGCGTCCCACTTCCCCCAGGAGAGGGGGTCACCTCCCCTGCCCCGGCCCCATCACATCAGAACAACAATGGCTGCAGCGACCCCCCCCACCCCACCTCCAGGACTTCACGCAGCCCTCCATGCAGCACCCCTCAGGGGGCCTCGGTAGACAGTGGGGGCTGATTGGCCAGGGGCTCCTTCTGGGCTCAGACCCTGGAAACTCACAATCCAGGCAATTTCAAACCAACCTCATATGACGCCCCAACCCCCAACCCTCCCACCCATTGGGAACACAGCTTTGGCTGTTCTGGGCCCCCACCTGATAGCGGCCTCCGACATCTGGGCTGTCTGATAATGCTTGGCTTTGGCAGGGACTTCATGCCAAATCCCGCCATCAGCAAGTTTACTGCTGCTTTTTGGGGAGGGGGAGAGCTACAGGGCCATGGCCTGGGGAAAGAGGGTCTTGAAGCCCCTTCCCAGGATCCCCACTCTGTCTGTTACCTCCTTGTACAGGAAGGTAACTAAGAACAGACGCCCAAGTCTCTCATTTTGTGGGGACTCGCTCAGTGCCTCACTTTACCCAACACCTGAACCCTCAACCTCTGAACCCCCAGCCCCTGAACATCTGATTCGAATTTGGATACAGGGTCAGTCCTTAAGGCCCAGCCCCTAAGAAGGCTGAGATGAGGTCTGTTCCCCAGAAACGGTGACCCCCGCCTTGCCTGACTCTTATCAGGGGCTGTAGCCAATCAGCTGAAGGCAGAGAAGATCCCTCCAAGGGGCCATTGGTGTCTCAGAGCCCACGAGGCCACAGAGAGAGAGGAGGCCTGAGGCCCAGGGTGGGCACCAGCCGGCCATGGCCGCAGCTGAGACCGCCTTGCCCTCCATCAGCACGCTGACCACCCTGGGCCCCTTCCCGGACACACAGGAAGACTTCCTCAAGGTGGGGCCAGGCGGGGTGTAGCTGGGCTGGCTGGGGTCCTGGGCTGTGGCTAGAGTTTGGGGGGGGGTCTAGTCTGCATCTTGCTCTGCATCTTACCCAACGCTGGGGGTCCTCAGTCTAGGCCTGGGGTCTGAACTTGGTCTAAGAATCTATGTCTGTCATGTAAAACTGAGGCTTCCCAGGGCACATGAATGGCTCAGTTGGTAGAGCCTGCAACTCTTGATCTCAGGTGAGTTCAAGCCCCACGCTGGGTGTAGAGCTTACTTAAAAACCCAAAAACCCAAAACCTGAGGCTTGGACCTGAAAACTGCAGGGGTCCACAGTGAGATCACCCCAGATATCAGGGGGAAACAGCAAATGCATGTAGGGAACATCCAGGTAGTAATCTTGGGAATTAATTCTTTGGGGGGGACAGGGAAGGAGAGGGAGAGTGGGGGGAATGGAACTGAGGCAAGGCTCCCCGCTTCTCCCCCCCCCGCTTCTCCCCCCTGCACCCCGAGCCTTCCATTCTTGGCTCTGCTACCCCTTCCCCCAAGCCTGACTGTGACTCCAGATAATGTCAGTCTTATCTTGGGTCTCCAGCCCCATCGACCTATGTCCCTGGACTTGGGGGGGGGAGGGTAGAGGGAGTGTTCCATGTAAGGGAGGGGGACAGACTGATATGACAGACAAACAAACAAGACCCCTTTCCAGAGCCTCTGGCCAGCCTACCCCCATTAGGGCATCCGACCCCCTCCAATGCGGGGCAGGGTACTCTGGTGTGCACCGAAGCCTCACGCTACCTGCTTCTTTCCCAGTGGTGGCGCTCAGAGGACGTTCAGGACTTGGGTCCAGGTCCCCCTGATCCCACCGGGCTGCCCCTCCACGTGAGGTCGGAGTCGCAGGACGCGCCCAGGGAGGACGAAGACGACGACGAGAGGGACTCGGCCACCTCCTGGGATCTGGATCTCCTTCTCACCAATTTCCCGTGCCCAGAGCCGGGCGGCGCGCCTCAGGCCTGCGCTTTGGCGCCCGGCGAGTGCTCCGCGGTGCAATTCCCGCTGCCGCCCCCGCAGCTGCCGCCGCCGCCGCCGCCGCCGCCGCCGCCGCCCGAGACTCTGGGCTCGTATGTGGGCAGCTCAGGGCTGGTGGCTGGGCTCTTGGCTCCCGAGGAGCACCCGGGCTGGGCACGCCCGGCCCCAAGAGCCCCGGGCCCCGACACCTTCGTGAGCTCATCCCTGGGCCCAGCTCCCGAGCCCAAGGCACTGCCGCTGCAGCCGGTGTACCCGGGGGCAGGTGCGAACCCCTCCGGCAGCTACTACTCGCGGACCGGGCTTTCGGTGCCCACGACGCCAGGCGCCCCCTACGGGCTGCTGTCCGGGTACCCAGCGCTGTACCCGGTGCCGCAGTACCAGGGGCACTTCCAGCTCTTCCGCGGGCTCCCAGCGCCTGCTCCCGGCCCCACCGCACCCCCCTCTTTCCTGAGTTGTATGGGACCCGGGACGGCGGGGGTGGGACTCCGGGGGACCGCAGGAGACCCAGGAGGGATCGCGGAGGCCGCGCCATCCAAACGCAGCCGGCGATCCTGGGCGCGCAAGAGGCAGGCGGCGCACACATGCACCCACCCGGGCTGTGGCAAGAGCTACACCAAGAGCTCACACCTGAAGGCTCATCTGCGCACGCACACAGGTGAGGGAGCGGGGCGCGGGGCTGGAGGATGAGCCTCAGGAGCAAAGAATGGCTGAGGAGCCCGAGCAAGTGGCGAGGCTAAAGCGGAGCGAGGGGCAGGGCACAGGGAGCTGGGGGCCGGCCGGGGACCTCAGGAGCCGGGCAGGCAGCGGTGCGGGAGGCGGGTGGGGGCACAGAGACACCCAGGGAAACCTGAGGACCGTTTCAGGGAACTGATGACAGGTAAGACCTGGGCAGGGAGCCGACTAAGGCGCAGAAAGCCCGGCAAGTGACGTAGAGGGCGAGCTAGAGGAAGGACTGCGGGGAGGGGACAAGCTTGGAATGCCAGGGGCGGGGTCAAAGACCGCGGGTTCAGGTCCGGGGCAAGCGGAGAACGGAGTCAGGGGGCTGGTGTATGAAATTTGGGTTGCTCGGCCTGAAGGGGGAGCCAGACTGTGGGGGCGTGGCTGGCATTCCCGAGGAGAGACTGTGGGGGCGTGGCTGGCATTCCCGAGGAGAGACCGGGCCAGGGTCCGTTTCCTAGATGCAGAGGCAGGTCCGGGAGGATCGAGGGAATAGCTGGGAAAGACGAGGGGTAGGCACAGGAGGAGAAGCCAGGTCCCAAGGATCCTCAAACGGGGGCAGGGCTGTGGAACAGAGCCTGCGGGGAGGAGAAAGGGAGTGACCTTGGTTTAAGGGCCGGCACAGAGGGTAGAGGCAATTGTATATTCCTGCGCGGGGACGCAGGGAGAGGAGCCAGGAGGAGCCTAGGAAGGGAATAACCAACCACCCGGCACAGGGCCTGGATTTCGAGACTGAGTCAAGGGCCAAGGCTAGGGGTAGAATTGGGCAGCACCTGGAAGGTCCCCTGGCACAAGATGGGGCTGGAACATAGACAGCATGTTCGGGGATGGCTTTAGGACTCAGGGGCATGGTAACATGGCACAGGAAATGAGGCCAGTGGGTTAGGGGACATGATGCGTGTCCAGGAAATGAAAGTGGGTTTGTACCTGCCAACTGCAGATACTTCTGTACGTGGGTCGGGGTCACAGAGGCTGCATCTGGGTGGAGAATCAGAGCCCTCCCCTGAGAGTGAGAGCCTCCTTACATTTTGCGCCCTAGGCCCCTCACCTACCTCATTAGTACCCGGCCAAGGCTGAGCAAAGGAGTGCAACCCAAGGCAGAGGCCGACCTGGGAAGTGGGGGGGGGGGGGAGTGGTGTTCACGGCTTCCTTGCCCCCCTCCTCCAGGGGAGAAGCCCTACGCCTGCACGTGGGACGGCTGTGGCTGGAGGTTCGCACGCTCAGACGAACTGACCCGCCACTACCGGAAGCACACTGGACAGCGCCCCTTCCGGTGCCAGCTCTGCCCGCGCGCTTTTTCGCGCTCCGATCACCTGGCCTTGCACATGAAACGTCATCTTTGAGCCCTGCCCCGACACTTGGACCTTCCTGGGGATTGGGGATGGAGCAAGAGTGGACCCCCTCAGGGTGGTTTTCCCTCGGATGGACCCTCTCCCAGATTCGCGGCCCCACAGATCCACTCAAATTGGATCAAGGACTGGCCCATAGACAGCCTCCAACCAAAGCTCCCACACGTCGTCAGCCACAGGGAGCCACACAGAGACATCCAATGGTCACACAGACACAACCAGACAAACCTCCAAATAAATGGACTCAGTTGGACACTGAGTTGGACACTCACTTCACTCTGACACTTTGGACAAAGAGACAGACCCTCAGAGAGCTGGACCCTTAGACCAGTTTACAAGAGGCCCTGGGCAGTGGGAGTTGGGGGTCGTGGGGTGAGGCTTCCCAGAGACCCTGGTCCGAGCAGGGACTAATGAAGTACATAGTGGTTGGATCGGCTGTGAATGGTTATGGGTCCTGTACCAATGCCCCTCCCAGATAAAGGTTCAGCGTTGGCCTGACTTTGTGGGGTGTCGGCGCTGGGAGATGGGAGGAAGCTGTATCCTGAGGGGTGACATCGGGGGCCGTACACACCTTCACACCCTCATCTCCTAAACTTCAGCAACCCCTCGTGGCACTGTAGGCTTTGCCGCCCCTCCCCACCACACCCCAAGATCAAGCTACATCGCCCTTGTCTCCTCCCTTGGACCCCAGGTATATTCACTGGGACCGTCTCCCTCTGTTTAAGAGCCCTCAGCCCAGCCCGAGTCTCAGCACCCTTCACCCTGACATGATCAAAAGTAATTCTTTGACTAGCTCAGGGGACCCCGGGAAAACATGTGGAATGAAAAGGGGGAAGATCAGAAGCACAAACGCCCCTTAAAAGAGCAAAGGTCACAAGAGCTGGACCTCAGACTGTAAAGCAGGAGAGGAAAAAATCCAAATTTGTGGCTAACCCTGGAGCGGGGATAAGAACGGGCTCCTGGCGGGAAAGTGTGGTCTGAGATAAGCCCGAGTAGAGCGAGACGGAGGCGGGACCTAGCGGAGGGATGTGAGCCATGATTGGCCGGGAGAGGAGTCGGAGGCGGGACTCGGGAGACAGCCTGGTTACAGGGGGCGTGGCTTGAGCCGAGAAGGCAGTGGGGAGCGCATCGCGGGTTGAGTGCGCCGGAAGCGGGAAGCTGCAAGTGGCGCCTGAGGGGAGTGACCTTCAGAAAGGAAGCCCCGCCCCCAGAGCGCCCCTAATTGACTTTCAAATCTCTGCTTCTTATTTGGTGGGCGGAGTCTCCATCCTCGTGAGGTCCCGGCTGGGATTCCCAGGCGGTTTGGGGAAGTGAAATTTGCCTAGGGACCGGCCCGGCTGAGCTCGTGACCTGATGCCCCGCGGTCCAAACACAGATTCCTCGACCCAGGCAATCGCCATGACCACGCTGAGCTATCTGCTTCTGGCCGCGCTGCTGTGGGTCCCTGGAAGGACCCTAACCTGCTACGGGGACTCGGGGCAGCCTGTGGACTGGTACGAGTGCGCAGGCGCCGACCATCTCCGGTGTTGGCCTGGGGGTTGCTGCACACCTGGGTGAAGCCTGGAGTTCCCTCTCTTCCCCCTCCTTCCATTTCTGTCCATTCCTCAACTTCAAGGTTCGTCGTCTACAAGCTGCCGGCCGAGAGCGGGCCCGGGGATGCGGCACAGAGAGGATTGCGATACAAATACATGGATAAGGACTCAGGGGGCTGGCGCGACGGCGCGGGGTCCATCAACAGTTCGGCAGGGGCCGTGGGCCGCAGCCTGCAGCCGCTGTACCGGAACACCAGCCAGGTGAAGGGACGCCTGGGCTGAACCTGGGATGGGACTCTGGGGCCCGGCCTGGGGGAGAAACTTCACGTTGCCTCATCCATCTCCCCCAGCTCGCCTTCTTGCTATACAACGACCAGCCACCTAACTCCAGTAGGGGTCAGCACTTTTCCAGCCGGGGACACACGAAGGGTGAGGCCCGCATTGGGGCTGGGGAAGAGCTCTGGTTTCCATGCATTTTCCCCCAGCTAACCCATAACCTAACCAGAGATGGGGGGGGGTAGCGGGGGGGAGGATGCTCTATCAGACTTGGACGTTTGCTTCCTCATTTTACATTACATGGTCTTTCCTTTTGACTATGAGAATAGCTGCGGAAAGTGAGCTAGCTCAGCAGTGATCTCGACCCTGTGCACACCTTTTCCAGGCCCCCCGAAAACCGAGGCTGTTCCTGATGGTATATGTGCTTGTCCGGAGGCCTTAAACAGTCCTCCTGACCCCATGTCTTCTGGTTCAGGTGTGCTGCTCCTGGATCAAGAAGGAGGCTTCTGGCTGATCCACAGCGTACCACGCTTCCCTCCACCTTCCTTCTCTGCTGCATACAGCTGGCCTTCTAACGCCCAAAACTATGGGCAGACCCTGCTCTGTGTGTCTTTTCCCCTCACTGAATTCTCGAAGATTGGTGAGTGCGGACGGGGAGGCAAGAGGAAATCAGGGAGGTCTGATTCCCAGGCTGGAAGGTGCAATAGTCCCTCATGTTCTCCACCTTTGCCCTCCAGGCAGACAGCTGGCCTACACCTACCCCCTGGTGTATGACCACAAGCTAGATGAGGCTTTCGCTCAGAAAGTCCCCAGCCTGGAGAAGGTGGTCAGTGGCCAGCATGTTCTCCACGGCCCCTGGAACAGCAGTGTCACACTCACGTCCAAGGCAGGGGACAGCTTCCAGAGCTTTGCCAAATTTGGAAAATTTGGAGATGGTGAGTCCTGAGTTGCAAAACTCTTTTTCTGCAGAGGGGGTGTCTAGCGTGTCCATGGCTTAGGGCAGGTCAGGAGTAGGGACTAGGACTCTTCTGGACCCACCATCAAATGTTGGTAGACAACCAGCAGAACTGGGTTCACGTATTGGTTTCAGGCTATGTGATGTGGGATTTAACCAGAGCCTCAGTTTAACCCATCTGAGAAGTGGTGATACTGGTATCTCCTTTAAAGGACTGTTACAAATGAAGTGATGCACATAAAGCATTTGGAAAGGTCTATTACTTTTAATGTTATCATTCCCTGGGTTTCCAGGAGTTGACAACTGAGGAAACCGAGCTCAGAGAGGGGAGGTCGGCCCTAGCAATGACCCTGACCCTGTCCGTTCCCTTTTTCCATCCTCCACAGACCTGTACTCTGGCTGGTTGGCAGAAGCCCTTGGCAGTGAGCTGCAGGTCCAATTCTGGCAAAACTCCCGTGGCATCCTCGCCTCCAACTGCTCCAGGGTCCAGCACGTGCTGGATGTGACTCAGATAGCTTTCCCTGGGCCAGCCGGGCCAGCCTTCAATGCCACAGAAGACCACTCCAAGTGGTGTGTAGCCCCAAAGGGGCCCTGGGCCTGCGTGGGTGACATGAATCGGAACCTCAGAGAGGAGCACCGGGGTGGGGGCACACTGTGTGCCCAGCTGCCGGCCCTCTGGAAGGCCTTCCAGCCTCTAGTGAAGGCCTTCCAGCCTTGCAACAGGAAAAGAACCTTCTCTCCAGGAAGCCCAGTATAGCCTGTAAGAGCTAAGGCTCAGGTCCCAGTTGGGACCGGAGTCTGAACCCCAGTTCAATGCCTTCCTAACTTTATTATGTGCCTTAACCTTGGACTCCATCCACTCATCTGCAAAACCAGAATCACAATGCCTGACTCAAGACTGTTGAGAAATAAAAATAAACTGGTGGATGGGGCTGTTAACTTTTTTTTTGTCTTCCAGTGGACGCTGGGCCTCCAAGCAGCATTGCAGCCCTTCTTTCCCTGAAGGCCTAGGGACAGCTGGCGCATAAGTGAGACCCAGAGTGAGACCACGAGGAAGGGTCCACCGAGGGCTCACCTCTCCTCTTTGGTAACCAGGCCTGGCGTTCCACCCCTGAAGACGCACACAGGCAAGGGGGCTAAAACACGATGCGATGCCCCGCCAGGGGAGGTGGGGTGAGCCCCAGAAAGCTCACACAGCACAGACACACTTTATTTATATGTGTACATATGTATACAGGTGGCTGTACAGAGCAGAGCCAGCGGCCGCCTGGGCTATGGGCCTGGAGGCGTGGGGCAGGGTGCACCTTTTTTAGTCAGGCCTGCTGGGGGTATAGCTTCCGCAGGGCACCGCGAGGTCAGCCCCACCTCAGGCTTGGTGGCTGGGACCAGGAGGGAAGCGGGCGGGGCTGGGGGCCCTGCACTGCTGGGCACATTCTTTGTGGAGGCTACAGAGGGGGTCTGGGGATCTGGAGAGAGTTTGGGGGAGGTGGGCTTGGAGCGAGGCCCGCTCAGCGTGGTCCGCTCCTCCACCACCTCCAGCACCCAGCACTCCCGGCCCCTGGGGGCCTCAGGTGCAAGACGTGCCAGGGGAGCCGATTCCTGCAACCCCTTGGAGTCTGCGCCAGGAGGCTGGGGCGTCCCGGCCTTGGCCCCGGGACGCATAGGCTCCACAACAATTGGCACCGGGGGGGTGCCCGCCTCACCCGAGCTGCTGCGCCTGCCGGTCTCGTGCTCCTGCACCGGGCTCAGCGCGGCCTTTGCCACAGCCCTGGCCGCCCCACCAGCTCCATCCTCTGTCTGCACGCTCTGGTGCCGTGTGCCGCTGGCATCCCGCTCCAGGGTCCGGCCCCCGGGGGTCGTCGCACGGGGTGGGGTGCAGGCCTCGGCACCCCCCGGGGACTCCTTCTCCTTACTGGACGCCGGCGGCCGGGGGGCGCCTTCGGGCAGCAGCGGGTCCGCGCCCAAGCTCAGGGGCGACTCCTGGCGGCCCAGGCGACGAACGGCGACCTGCCTGGGTGCGCCAGGACCTTCGACAGGGGGCGTCTCGCCGTCAGATTCGGCGAGGCTATGTAGCGCCAGCTCGCCATGAAAGTCCTTGCGGAAATCCGGGTGGCCCACCTCTAGGCTGTGTTTGCGCAGTGCGCCCTTCTTGTCGGCGCCCAGCGAGGCTCCCAGCTTCTCCGCCGACTGCACGCGTTTGAGGAGAGGCGAGCGCGGGGGCTCCGCACTCTTGGGGCGCGGCCGCACCACCGGCGGCGACGAGTGCAGCTTCGCAGGGAAGCTCTGCGTCGTGTGCGAGCTGCCCACCGTGTGGCCCGGCAGCGGCGGCGGCGACGCCTGTGTCGGGGACGGCGTGTGCGCCAGCGGCGACAGCGGGATGTTGCCGGCCGACTTGCAGCGGGCGGAGCGGTACTGCCGGTGCAATTTCGGCGACAGGCCGTGCAGCGTGCTGGGTCGGATGTGGTGCGACGCCGACGACGCTGGCGAGTTGG